CCCAAAGTGCTGAGAGGCCTCAATCGTTTTGATTTGGGGTATAGTTTCCCAAGACCTCCAACAGATTGAATCTGTTGAGTATTTTTGGGGCCTCTCCACATTTTTGTTTCAAAATCACAAAAAAGATTGAGGCCTCTCAGCACTTTGAGCGTCTGGGAGCTGCAAAACAATGAGAGGCCTAGGAAGTTAGCACGTTCGGGACGCCGCTCCATTCCGCTACCCACCGCCTCGACCCACCCTTGCGTCTTAAAAGAAGAAAAATGGTAGGTCAATGGGGGGGTACCATATATATATATAGATATACATTCACATATAAACAAATATACACAAATATGTAAATATACTCTATATATATATACACCTATATATATATATACATACATACAACATCATAGTTACATATGTAAGATCTACACATACTTACTGGATCTTCTGTATGTATCTGTCAGTTTATTTTTTGTTTCTTCATCTATCTAGAATTTCAATTCAAAGCCTAGACCCTAAACCCTAAGGCCCTAAACCTAGAGGCCGTATGCATTAGAATAGGGTTGTTTAGGTTACTGTCGGGGATGCCAAAAAGGTTCTGCAAATCAGGACCCTCACGAGGCTCTGGGGTTTGAGCATGTAAGCCTCCCGAATACTAGGTCAAGCACTAAACTCAACCCCAAAAGCCTAAACCCCAAAACCCTCAAGCCTAAACCCTAGACCCAAAAACCCGTAAGCTGCTAATTCTCAAGGGTCCTTGTCAGCTCCTGCTTGTAAAAGCAGGCGGACCATCTCCTCAGATGCGGGTATTTTTGTTAGCACCTTAGCGGGCCTAGGGTGTGTAGGGTTTCGGGTTTTGGGATCCAGGTTTGGCTTTAGTTGCTGAGGGCTTAGGGTTTGGGGGCTGGTAGCTTTGGGGATTAGGGATTTTCAGGATATGCTTTCGGGATGAGTTCTTTCGGGATTAGTTCGGTGCCCGGGCTGTGCAAGTCAACGGCTTTTTTGGGCTCTTGAGGATCTCAGCTGTTTAGGGCTGATGGAGGGTAGGAGTCGTTGCTCTGTAGAGCTGTGAATCCAGGAGACTGTTGACAACAGTAACGACTACCGAAGTGCTGCTCTAGTCTCATGCTGCCCACGTTGAGCGGCACGCACAAGAGGGACCTGGAGCACTTTGCAAGCTTAGGCGTTAGGGCAATGCCTATCAAACTTGGTGTATGATGCTGTCTGACAGACAGTTCAACATCATGACTGGGTGGGCTAGATAGGCTAGACAACACACACGTTTGCCACAGCAACCAACACCAGCCTTTCCGTTGAGTCCGTCGAGGTAGGCAGGGGGGTTAACATCACCAGTATGCGCGTAGCGGTGCAGCAAGCGCATAATCTCAACACGGTTAGCGTCGACATCGTGGTCGGCTGCCTGCACGAAAGCCTTACTTCGTGCCATACGTCGAAAAGCACAGAGTCACGGGGTTAAAGTTTTTATTTAGGGGTTTTAATTTTAATCATTGCATCGCGAAGAAGATGACCAAAGGCGAAAAGTAGGAAATCTTGTCCGTTTAAGAGAGGGAAGCCTCGCATCTTTGCAAAGTCGTCAGCTGATTGAAGGCATCAGCTGCCAAAAGGAGTCGAACAGCTTCGGTGTAGCCGTGATGGATGGCATAGAGGAGCTCGTCGGATTGTGCGTCTTTGTGCAAGGAGGGCTGCAAGACGAGTTGTAAATCTGCAGGTGCCGGCAATCTCTCCGCATCTTTCAACAGACAGCCATCGTAAAGGAGCTGCTGCAACGTTTCTGGAAAGCCGTGGAGCCTGCTCAGGTGGCTCTTCAAAGTCCTAGCAGTGCTCAACAGGCTCAGCTCCTCTGGCGACACGGAGACCAACTCCTCACCCGTCAGCTTCCAAACTCGCAGCATCTTGTCTTGGCGGCAAGGGTCGAAAAAGCCAACTGCACTGAGCTTCCTAAAACTCGAAGCCTAAATGCCCATCACGGAACACAGCCATAGAGTCGCACGGCGATCAGATGTGCAAACCTGCAGTGGCACCTACCTGAAACCTAAGTGACCTACCTTTTTAGGCTTCTTCCACTCTAAACCCTAAACCCTAAACCCTAAGCCGCTTGTTTTAATGCAGGTCGGGTTTGAGTTTGCCGAAGAAGCCGGACTGGAACTCTGGCTGTTCGTTTAGAGCTGGCTATCCGGGTTTAGGGCTTAGGGTTAGGGTGAAGGCCATAAGCCCTAAACCAGTTTAGGGCTCAGAGAATGAAACTTCCCCGGATGCTGGGCGGCAAGATCAGTATCCGAAACCCATGTACATAGTTATAGGATCCTAAACGTTCCAAAATATGTCACATAATGACCGAAAGGGTCCTAAGTGCCGATATGGTAGAATCCAGGGTTTCTGTACTAGGAATCATTATGATGATTTGAGAAGGTATCCTCATAACAGTACCTAGGACCCTTTGGGCGAAACTATGCTAAGCCCAAGTACAGATCGTTAAGCAGCTTTTACTGCATTAGGCTAATCTAGTGATGCATCATGTCGAGCACTAGCGAGCAGCAACAGTTTCGGCTCCACACCGAGTAAAGGATTTAGCCAGTATGGCCATCAAAGCATGACTCGTTTTGAGTGCCTTATCACCTGAGCAATACTTCTTTTGCTCACGTCTACAACGACCATGCAAGCAAATGATTTGGCCAGTATGGCCATCAGCAGCAGCCGCAGCCAGCAGCATTGCATGGCTCGCTTTGAGTGCTTTATCTTTCGAACAATGCTATATTTCTTATGTCGATGACTAAAAGCCCATGCACCCAACCCTCCAAACAGACCTAGACCCCCACACTCATTAAAACACTCACGAAGCGCAAGAGCCCCCAGAAATCCACCTATTTATCGAACCCTTGAGGAACCCCTACAGCACGCAAGACGCACGCGGTACCTTTGGACCCCCAAGCGACTTCCCCCGGAACCACGGGGCCCCCAAATCTTAAAAGCCCTAAAAACCGAAGCCCTGAAACCTAAGTCTGACTAAATCCTTTGTAGACCTAAACTGCAAAAAAAGCCTCAATCAACCCTAAATTCCTAAATCTGACTAAATCCCATGTAAACCTAAACTGCAAAAAAAAGCCTCAATCAACCCAAAACCTGAAGCTTGCATCCTACATCCTAAACTGCCTCGGTCCTCCTTCAATAGCCTGTGCAACACCAGACTGACTGACTGCGCCCTCCTAAACTGCCCCAAACCCTAAACTCCCTAAACCAAAGCTCTTAAAGCCGAAATTGCAAACAACCTCAAACCCCACAGACCACCTCAACCGGCCATAACCTGCCAGAACCTACTTTTGTTTAGGTTCTTGTAAACACCCCCCGCCCCCCCAAAGAAGTAAGTGTATTCGGAGCCCTACAAAAAAGTAGGTTCGGTTTGGTTGTGAAAGCCTAAGCCTTCACGGCTCTCGGCCCGCAGGCACCACCTATACTGATATTCTATGGGGTAATTCTCTAACTTAAACTTTCCTTCAGGGTCCTTTTTATAAGGGTGCCGTAGTATGTTGGGCCTAAAGAGGAACCCTAATTTAGAGAACTACGCATATTTTTGCCAAAAAAACCCCTTCGGTAGTAGTACTACTACTATCTAGACCCGGCTATACTACACTGAAAATTTCTGAAACACTCCACCCCTAACCCTAAACCCTAAACCCTAAACCCTAAACCCCAAAAGGCGCTTCCCCGGGTCTCACCGCTCTTGGATTTGTCCATGTTCGCGAAGAACCGGCCCATGAGGTCGGCCGGGGCGGAAGGGAACGTCCTGCTTTGGATGACCCTAAGCCCTATAAACCCTATAAACCCTGTAAGCCCTATATAAACCCTATAAACCCTAATAGGGTTAAGGTTTAGGGTTTATAGGGTTCAGGGTTTATAGGGTTTATAGGGTTTATAGGGCTTGAAGGGGTTTATAGTATAAGCCCTATAAACCCTATAAACCCTATAAGCCCTATATAAGCCCTATATAAGCCCTATAAACCCTATAAACCCTATAAACCCTATAAACCCCATATAAGCCCTATAAGCCCTATAAACCCTATAAGCCCTGTAAACCCTATAGGCCCTATATAGGCCCTGAACCCTATGTCTTCTGGGGGCTTAGGCTTTGGGGCTTTCGGGGTGGACTCCAGGCTTCGCGCGTGGGCTTTTGACGGCTCAAAATGACAAGGGTTTGGGGGGTAAAATTCTGGATTTTATAAGGGTTTAGGGTTTAGGGTTTAGGGTTCTGGGTTGGTGGATAAGAGCTCAGGGTTTAGGAGACCCATGTTTCAGCTTTCACGTAAGGGTCCAAATACCCAACCATCAGATGCTCCCTCATGTGCCAAACTATGCCGCTACTCTCCTAAAGTACTTCTGTAATTAGCTCAATGCTCCTCCAGGAGCCATGTTGGGTACGAGAACCAACCGCCACGAGCTAAAACGTACTTGCAAGAAACTCGAAGATGCGACGCATGGAGCCGATGAAGCATCGTTGCCATCAGGACAAGAACCCTCGACCGTCATAGACTTGACGCCTGCCCTGAGGTCATTGAGGAGTTAGGGGTTCAAGGTTTAGGGTTTAGGTTTAGGGTTACCCTAAACCCGAAACCCAAAGACTGACATAGTCAGTGTGAAATCTAAAGCCCATCACGACGAACGCACGAGTCGGTCCATTTCTCATCGGGCAGCTCTCTCTTAGTCTTACATGTAGTATGTTATACTAATTACTGCAGGCTGTAGGGGTTTACGCTTTTGTTCTATTGCAAAACGACTTCCAGGGTTTTTTTTCTCAGGGGTCTAAGTTTACATTGACAGCAGGAGTCTAGGGCCTTCAGACAGTCGGGATCATCTGGAATTCGGTACGGGGATCTTGGCTTTCCGCTTTTTCGGGTTTGTCTCGGGGGTGTTTGGGGTGTGTGGGCTCTTCCTCCAGGACTTATACAACTGCCCTAACTTCTGCTTGAACCCTGAAGTCTTAAACCACAAGCTAAACCCTAAACCCTAAGCCCTAAGCCTTAAACCCTAAGCCCCAAACCCTAAACCCTAAGCCCTAAAAAAGACTCTTGGCCAGAAATCCGTATAAAGCCTGGGGTTCAAGGTGCAGAGTTTTAGAGTACTGTAGTAGGGGTTCAGGGCACAGAAGACCTGAAAACCCTCCGAAAGCGACAGCCCTGCCCAAAAGGGTCCTAGGTACTGTTAAGGGGGATACTCTCCCAAATCATATTAATAATAATAGCAAGAAGAAGAATAAACAGTAATAACAATAAATAATAATTATCATAAATAATAACATAAACAACAATAATAACAATAACAATAACAATAAGAATAATAATAATAATACTAAGAAGAATAACATGATGATTCCGAGTTCCGAATATAGAAACCCTACGGCCCTACAGTAGATTCTACAATAGGCACTTGGGACCCTGCGGCTGCGTGAGCCCACAAGCGAAGATCCTAGCCTCTCGCAACACATTCTTGACACCCCCCTTAAGGACGAAATGAACCCTAAAATGGTTTAAGGTTTATATTACCATATAGGGATTCATAGTGTATGGCTATATAGGCCCCTACTTTTAAGGGTCATTTCGTCCTTGAGGCCCCTTTTACAACAAAGCAGCAACCATGGGCGAACACACATAGGTAGTTCTCTAAAGTAAGGCCCATTTCGGGCATACTAGGGCGACCGAAAAGGAGCTAAAAAGAGACCCTCCTTTGCTTAGAGAGACCTAACCATATATTCTTTGCAGCGAAACCCTGAAAAGTAGGTTTTTACTATCATCCAAGCCCCCAAGGCCCTAAAGAACAACTGACACCCGAAACCCTAAGCCCCAAACCCTAAAGCCCTAAAACCCTACAGCCCTACACCCTGAAACTGAAACCTGAAGCCCCAAACCCGCCTCAAGAAGGCAGCGCGATCTACAATACCGAACTGAGACGTCGAGGCGACCTGGGTTCTCTTGGGTTTGGCTCAAGGGCTTTCGAGCTCAAGGGCTTTCGGGTTTCCGGTTTAGGGTTTAGGGCTTCAGGGTTTCAGGGTTTCGGGTTTCGGGGGTTTCGGGATTGATGTTTAGGATTTCGCGTGTTTGGGGTTTAGGGTTTCGGGTTCAGGGTTTCGGGTTTTAGGCCTTAGGGTCCTGGGTTCAGGTCTTCCCCTGAAGACTCAGGGCCTATGGGGTTTATAGGGTTCAGGGCTTAGGGTTTAGGGCTTCGGGGTCAGGGATCAAAATTTAAAGTTTAGGGCTTAGGGTTTAGGGTTTAGAGCTTAGGGTTTAGGGTTATACTTTATTTATCATAAGGCGCCCCAGGGAATAGCGTTGGGAATCTCACTAGCCTTCTACAGGACCCAAGACCGGTGGATTGAGAAAGTGCTCTTTTCGCAAGGTCCCGCAAGGGACATATAAGAAGGCCAAGCATGAAGAATCCACTACCCATAGGCCCCTAAGTAGTTCCTTTTTTTATGGCTTGTATTTGGAATCCTATACGGTAATCCCAAAAAGGAACTACTTAGGGGTCTATGGGTATGGAATATTGAGGTCATCTTGAACTTCATTCATCCTAAAATGGCAAAACAGCTATGTGAGGAATGGTCCTTAACATAGACCCTCATGCATAAAGACTCTATTCCTAACCCACCCCTTACAGAACACTAATAGACCCTGAACCCGCTTACAGAACTCGAAACCCTCCAGCATCGCTTCGTTCGCTCGGCTCCCCGCCGACTGCCAGGCCACTCTAAGCTCAAGGCAGAGGTCCTTTTAGGGGTTGTAGGGGTTTGAGGTAAGGGCTTTAGGGGTTTAGGGGGTTCGGCATGTTGATGGGTAGCAATCTACGTGTTCAGGAGTTAGGGCTTAGTAGCTTTGGGGTTTACGTGATTGGAGTTCAGGGTTTC